GAGAGAGAGAGAGAGAGAGAGAGAGAGAGAGAGAGTGACGCGGGTGAATGGGGAGAGGGAGCCTGAGCTATTTCCGAGTTCACCAGACAGCCTGTTATTCAAACGTACTTGCTGGTGGCTGAGGTCGCCAAGGGGTTTTTGGCCCAAAGCAAGGACACGAGCACCACGGCGGGCCATCTGTAGGTAGGCCTCGTCGTAGTCCGGTGGAGCGTCGATCAGCATGGCCTTAAGCACCTCCGGAGAGCCCTTCACACAAGCCATGTAGGATATGTTCACATTAGCAGTGTTCTGGTAGCCAACAACAACGGACATGCGACGAAGATGGCTGGTAAATCGGAATCTGTTTCGTGGTGAAAAGAAGGGAAGACCAAAGGAAAATCGCATTTAAAAAGGTAGAAATCAGAAACAGACGTCGACAGGGAGGAAAACAGACAAATAGAATGAGGACAGTTCAGTTTTTTAATCTCCTGACAAATTAATTTCTGTTCGCGGTATACATCAGTATATCTAAGGTCTATAGGTGTAGACCGGAATTGCAAGTGTATATTTGGGTTGAAACCCGTCAACCACTTCGAAATATCCGCCTGCAGCCGACAGACAGACTTGTAGTAGTAGTATTAGTAGTTGTAATAGTAGTAGTAGTAGTGGTGGGGACCCACTGATGAGCCGGACCCCTCGCAGCTGTGTCAAACAGCGGCAGAATAACGGCGAAACACGTGTCTAGGCCTTTTAGCTAGTACCTAGGCTGTTAGTATAGTAAGTTACAACATCAGAATGAAGACAGTCTGGCTCGGGGAAGTCGGATAGGTTAAGTCGGGATTTGCACACATGCAATCTATTCAAATATATTTAAACTACTAAAAAACAATAACCCACAGAAACGGGAAAATCGAGCTTGTTTACTAAAAGTCAACTCATGCCAATGTTATACGCGAGGAAAATTATACTTAAGTAAGCTTTAGGAAATAAGAGCAGATACAAAAACATACTCACAGAGCACAAGTGATTCACGTTGGCTTTGACATTTTTCAACATGTTTTGATAAACCTCTCTACCCTCAGAAAGTGATGTTTTTTTGGCTATTTGATCTTGATTAATAGTAAAAGAGGCATGTTCCGTGGTTCTTGGCAGAGTGAAACATCGAGTTTGTTTGAGATTATGTTCGCCCTTAATTGGAGAATATTTCCCATGAAAGGCTGTGGCATACTTTTGTTCACGCATCGGCGAAGGTTTGAGAGCTCACCTGTACGCAAGTGAGTGTGCCACGTTAGTCAACAAGACGTATATGACAAATCATAATAATGAGATGCGAAAGGATTATATGGTTATTGCGAGCATCTCAAGTGATCGCAACGGAACGTATGTGAATGTGACGCATTTGGAGAGGGGAGGTGGTGTCAACGCTTCAAGCAAACGTGCCTAGAAAGAATGAAATTTCGAACGCGCAGTGCATCTCCTCTCACCAAATACGGATTAAACAGAGTACGTATCGGGAGATGGATTTCTCGCGAGGATTTCTAAACAGCGGTGACTTAAAAGATTCACTGACTAAAAAGTGCAGCTCGCGGCCGGCGTGTTCTCTAATACTCATGGTCGTTAATTGGCGTTACGCATTAAATATGCATGCGGAGCATGTGGGAAGCGAACATGTGATCTGCGTGGGCTTGATTCTAAAAGTGCATGAAGCTGTTGCGTTCGAACGGAGCTGAGGCGGCAAGTCTGCCTAGAGCGCGTTATACAGAGCTTTTACACCACGAAAGCCGATATCAGTTCTGATCAGCTTGAGTGGTATTATTACTGATAAGAGATGAGGAACGCAGGGGTGCAGTCATCAGCCCTAAGGTCACCGACCATAGGCGTTGCAAAGTCATAACCAGGAGTTCCAACATGTAGCTGCGCAGGTTTTGATCTGAGGTGATCACCCAGAACGCGTACGGATTGACGATCACTGTGTAATCACTCCTTATATCTCTCACGAAATAGATATCCAAGAGCTGACAAATGGCTCTTATGTGTGCGGGGGGAGGAATTAGCGTGTGTGCACATGGCAGGCATATGCGGATCTTCTCACGTCAGCTCCTGCAAAGTCCATTTTCAGTCTTACTGACTTTTTAGTCAGTTAAGCACTCTTCTCTGTAGAGGGTAATGGTCCTCTCCAAATACAACGAACGAACCGCGCGTGAACGCAATGCTGACGTTAATAAGTCTCACTTCTGGCTAATAATTCAGCCAGAAAGTGTGCCAGTAATACTAACATTCAGCTACATCCCTAGTTAGTAGTATTAGAAATAGCAGTAGCAGTACCAGTCTTGGTTTCCTTTCCCTGGTTTCCTGTCTTGACACCCACTGAAGGTGAGTGAGGATAAATGGAATGGCGAAAAAAATAAGTTATCATGAAAAACTAAGCATATTTTTTTTGTTTGTTGACAGGCGATAAGTAGAATTTTATTACCTCTGATAGATACGCAGCGGTGGAGAACGAGGCGAGGACTTGCCATGCATGACGCCCTCTGGGCTAAGGTTCCAGCCCACAGCCCGTAGTATGGCTTTGTCCAGAGGATCACCCAAAAGACCCGAATCCGCAAGCACCAGTGAGTGTGCTGTGGCAAGCACTTGCACTGTGGTAAGGGGGCAGTTCTTTATCGGCAAAATCCGGTCCACAATCTGATCACTTTAAAATGGCAGGAAGAGATGAGGAGACGAGTGTGAACAGACGTTTGGAGTCTCGTGGGGAGAAAGTAGGTAAAAAAGACATTTCAGGTCAGCTTACTTTAAACCAGTAACACCCTCGACAACCACTTCGTCTTCCGTGAGAGTGCCCGTTTTATCGAAACAGCAAATGTCGACGCGACCGG